GTAAAAACAATAAAAAAAAAAAAAAAAAAAAAAAGAAAAGGTCAATCAAGAGCTGTTACCCAGAAGGAAAGAGATGAAGTGACTCTCAAGGAACCAGCCACAAGATCCATTGAAATCCTTTGCTAACCAGCATCTATCTACACCCTCCTCCTAATATCAAGGCTCCTCAAATCCCCACTCCTAAATGAAAGCAGCGGTTCTCTACAGGGCTGCATGTTGGAATCACCTGTTGCTGTCCCCCAGAGATTCTTACTTAGTAAATATGGGATGCAGCCTGGGCATAGGAACTTCTAAAAGTTCCCAAGTGATTTCACTGTGTAACCAAAGTCAAGAACCACTGTCTAAAGGGAGACAATGAAGGCTCTTCTAGTTAGCAACAACCATAGTACAGAACTTCTGGCCAAAGTTCTTTATTTTTATTTAAATAAATTTCTGATATAACTCCCAATGGTTATTAATAAGTTAAAAAGTAATGATTATAATGTATAGGGTAATGTCTTTGACTAGACTGATATGCAATGTATTCATGATGGGAAAATTCATTTGTTATGCTGTCATGATACACAGTGATTAAATGTAAATAATAATAATAATAAAAATAGTGAATTAACCATCATCTATACTCCCTTACATATAATGGTAGGCAGGGAATGGCAAGCTGCAATACAAGTTTCCCTCTTAAAAAAGAAAACAGGGGAACCAGCAGTTAGCGTAATGGCTATGTCGCTGGACTCCCACGTAGTCAACTGCGGTTCGCGTCCTGGACCCGGTGGCTTAAAACTCATGCCGGGCACATGTGCGTGCATGCCTAAGATCCTGAGAGGAGAATGGAGGAGAAGGGATTGCGGCATGACCATTCCCCCTGGGGAGTGATTTCTCGTTTTCTGTCTCTATGTCTCTCTGTCTGTCTGGCGAGCACACATGCCGTGCTGCTTGGGAGCGCACACGCCCCTTAAGGGAAAACCCTCCTGAAAAAAAAAAAAAAAAAAAAGAAAGAAAGAAAACAGGACGCTGCAGAAAGTGGTGGTTATTTCAAAGTGCATTTTGTATTTTGCTGAACAGGAACACTAAGTGATCCATGCCTTGCATGAGGAGCGAATGATTTAATTGGCCTATCTTGTAGATCTCACTCCTATTTTCTGGAAGGATCTTCCCTCTCCTTTGTTTTTTAAGGTTGTCTCAAAGATGGACATTGGGGAGAATTCTCTTTTCTGGGCCTACATTACTTTGGAAGCCAATATATGTGATTCTAAGAGCTTAGAGATGACTCTGGCGATGAACAACAGCCAAATCCTTGACTTGAGGATTCTTTGGGAATTCCAGTAATTGAGAATGCTAAGGAGGATTCTTTGGGAATTCCAGTTATTGAGAATGCTAAGGATTAATTTTTGCCAGATAACAACTTTATCTCCTGTGATGACACCTGCCTGGCCTGCTTTTGCTCCAACTGACCTCACTGTGGGGCAGAGAATTTAAACACTTTTCTCCAGATAACTAGGCTTCTATCCATTTAGGAGGAAAGGCACCTTATGGAGATGACTTCTTCTAGTCATCTTGACTGTCATATTGACTGTTTCCTTTTCTTAGGATGGGTTGGTTTCAGATCAAGCCTACCTCTCTTTTGAAGGACTTTAGTGAAAACTACAAATTTTCCTAGTAAATCACCAAATGACCAAATGCTACAATCTTGATTGGCACTTGAACTCTTCTGTGAAATACAACAGGCCATCATTTAGGCTGTTATTTAGTGACTGTACAATAAGAATTGCCATCTTCCAGCTATAGAAAAAGATGGATTTTGCTCATTACTCTGCTTACCTAGATAGAGTTAGTTCAATAATTTAGGACCTGTTACGTGCAAACACCATCACTCTCAGCACCAAAGTCAATATCTGGTAGGATGCTTTCAGTGGCAAATAATAGAATACTGCTACAAACAGACTTAAATCAAGAAAAAGATGGACTCATGTAGCGAGGGTGAAGAGGTAAGAATGTGGAGGCAGTTAGGTTAGAGGTCCAGCTCCACTTCACTTCTGTTCTGCCGACTGGGGCTTCACCCCAGGCTGACTGCCCTTGGCATCATGACATAGCTCCAGCTGAAACCCAAGATGCACACTTCTTGCTTCAGAGCACGAGGGATAAGAAAGGTAGGGGAGATATGTCTCTCTTTATCATGAAGCAAAATTCCCGAGTTTCACTCTAATTGGATAAAGTTAGATTACATAATCACTTTGGGGCAAGAACCATGACAAGAAGGGTAGGACTGTCTTGAAAGACTTGGGCCAACAGTTCATTACCCTGTAGCTAGTGTCAGGTCTGGCCCAGTGGATGCTTGTCAGTGCCTGGAGGGACTGCCAGCAGGGGATATATTAAAGACACTATTTTTTTTTTTGAAGAAATTTTTGCTATCGTGCCTGTGCACTCAGCAGAGAGACAAAGAGACAGAGAGAAAGAAAGCAAAAAAATCACCCTCCAGGGGGATGGCCATGCCACAATCCCTTCTCTTCCATTCTCTTCTTGAGATTTTGGATAAGCACACACACACACACACACACACAGACACACACACACACACACACACACACACACGTCA